CCACGATCGACGTTCGGTGGGTAGCATGAGGAATTTGTTATCCGTTCTAAATGGCGAGTTGGCTGATGGAAAAACCACGCTTGCCGCTGCTAGCTGCGACATTGAACGGGCGGCATCTTATTGCGGGGAGAATTATCTGGTACTATCTCTTTATTTTATCATTTTTTTTAGAAAGGTCAACGGGAAGGAAAGTTAGATAATACAATGGCATTTGCAACCCAATCGTTGGGTACAGTTGCCTATCAAATCAGTCGTCTGGCTTCTCATTTTCTCGAGGCAATCGATATGCAATCTGATATGCTCGGAGAGATCTCTGACCGTATCGAGAAATTACGAATGGTAACTCAGTGATTATTCATGACGCACATCTTTCACAGGTGTGTAATGTGCATCAGGAAAAGGTGTCCAGAAAAGCAATTGGATCTTGCACCAACCCCAAAGTTCCGATCATTTTTCAACATGAATGCTCGCACCCTGAACCGCCTCCAAAATACATTCGTCGACCTATCGACTATTCGTTGCTGGATGCTGTAGGACACGGTGTCCGTACTCAGGTGATAATTTGGTTCCACTGTTCTTCCAGTGATATATGCAGTATATGCATGCGCATATTTTCTGGGTTAAAAATTTCATCCACGAACTTGCTGGCTACTTTTTTTTATTACACACCTTAATTTAATAAACAACAACAGACGGGGTGAAACCCCATAGTCACAAAGACCCGCCGTTCAGTCATGGTGGAAACCGGTAACCTAAGTCTCGCGGGAGTGGCAAACCACATAAGGCGCCGCGCTAGATTAGGCATGGTATTGAACTGGACGACAGCGAAGCTGTCTACCAGCCTTGTAGCCCTAGTAGCGCAGTCGGTTAACGCGTCAGTCTCCTGATTATTACGAAAGTTTTATTCGAGTAGTTCCACTTTTACGCTACTACTACCTAAACGTGTATTGGAGTTAATTAAATCTACCCGCTACTAGTGTTATTATTCCACAAGCCGGTGCCTGTTCTAGGATAGTTGTTTCTGATCAATAACGGTCAGGGTAACGGGAAACTGGCATTCAAACAACAAAATATCTCATTTGAATTGAGTCTTCAGAATTCCCACACGCACACAGAATAGTTAATGCAACGGTTCACTACTAGATGCGCATTCTTGTAGTTAACGTAGTGAACAGCAGCAATTCATTCCAATATTATTTCAATACCACACCTAACCTATCGGGGACTTATGTGGTTCGCCACTCCAAGTCCCGGGGCTTAGGTTGCCGGTTTCCATTGATGAACAACAGGTCCTCATGACTATGGGGTTTACCATCTGCTGTTCATCACGCTAAGGTGTGTCATAAAAGCAAAGGTCTTGTTCATTTTTGAACGTTGAAAGAAACCGCCAATAGTATCATTTTGCGAACTATCCACAAGTATGAGTAGTATCTCACAACATTAGTTGTACATCTGCATCCGTGTAATTTTTAGTCAAACTGTAACTATTTAACCAAAGCATCCGATTCCCGGTCATTTAGATCCTCACCACTTTCCGCTCTGTCTATCTTCATTTCGGTTAATTTTTTCCCTTAACTTGCTCAGGAACCTACATTAAATCAATATGGTGTGCCGGTTTTGCACGCAAATACTATTCAGCGACGAGCTAGTGCATCAACATCGGTCCCCGGTCAAGGTGCCTTCGTTCGGCAACACAGCACTGTCTCTTGCCGCACCTCCGGAACTAAGTCCACCATCGAATACGCGGCACCGATGCATTCAAGTAATACCATGCGCTATCAAAGTGAGCATTGCTTCCCCTTCGGTTCTTCAACGTCGAAATCGGTGGTTTTTTTGCATTACTCTTATCACATCTTCCGTTTTGTTGAAGGCTTTCTGTTTGCTCGTATTACTCGTGGAATCCGGCTTGTGAATGACAGTTTATCTATCAAAAACTGCGTTCCATCTTCAATGCCCCAGCTCATCTGATTACTTCTACTTTACCGTCTTTTGAAAGACTTGTTACAGTTACAGTTGCTGTTTCCTGAACCACAATAATGCGTTTAGTTGCACTGAAAGAAACAGGCCGATTTCGGTCTTGCGTGATTAGGGATTCAACACGTAACCAATTACATAGAATTGGTAAATGTGTTATTACAGTTGAAGGAAAAGTCTGTAGAATGTGTTCATTTCCCGGTTGCCCTGATCGAGGAAGACGGGTAACCTCGGGGTCCCCATAGTTCGCATTTGGCTAGAAAGTCAGACCTACAAGACAGCATTACGGTGCTCAGAACCCGCAGTCCACTGGGAGCCGGTATCCCGTGCATCTGATCATACGCCCTTTGGAGACATCTGAGGTGTCCCATACACCTCGATGCCCAATTAAGCCAGTGATCACTGTCACAACGAGGACGTTGTGTGTGTGTGTGTGGTTCGTACACATTTTCGCGGTTGGTTCGGCATCACGAGTTTTAGCCAACCCATCAAGGTGAACTGCTAGTGATGTTTGTTCACCGACCCGGTTCTAGCTCCCGATATTAGTTTTGCATTCTCTCACTTTTGTAGGGAAAACACCTCCGCCACGTGAAGGAGGGCAGTAAGTTGGGCTTCCTCAGCAGAGGCTATTTGAAACATTTGGTCATATAGGATCATTTCATGAGATATAAGGAAAGGGTGACCAGTCACTACCCGAGACACCCATCCCCGACCATACTGAGAGGCTTTTGGTATAGTCACAAGAATCACTTTAATTAACAGAAGTCAATTCACCACATAGCTTGATGAAACATCGGATTCGTTACTGAATTAATCCGGTAGCCGTGCACTGTTTCTTCTTTTCTCATTCCTCGCTCTACCGTTCTTCTATTCCTGACACCCGCAA